CGTCAGGCTCCAGGCTTGCCGGTTCTGCCTGGTGTCGGTCGGTTCACCCAACCGCAGTGCCTCAGTACCTGCTGTAGTCACCTCGAGGTCCCTAGTAGCGCCCCTGGGGACAACTGGGGACATGTAGGGTGAGACTAATCCGACACCTCCCGTCCCTTGCGGGGAGTTGTTCTTTGCCGCCCGTGCAGGGAGCCCCGCGGTGGTTCAGCCCGAGCAGGGAGCAACGCATGGTTCGCCCATCACCCTCAGAATGTTTTTCGGCGTATCCAAGCTCAGTTTCTGTAGAAGTTCACTTCCTTTCTTTCCTCCAGCTTCTGACCTGCTGTGGCTGTGCCCACGTTACGCGTGTGAACGTTCCGTCCTTTCGTCCTGGCTGGGAACAGGGACTCATGTCCATCTCTAGGTTTGCAGGTGCTGAAGGTTTCTGCACAGCACTGGTACCTTCAGAGGTTGTCGATCCCTTTGATCTGCTGAGCTATCTGCTCAGTTAGATGACTGACAGAAATCAAGCAAAAAACTGGGATAGCAAAATCTCCAAATCTTCCAATTTAAGCTGTTTAATGAAGCGCCCTCGCTTAACCTGGTGCAGGTGAGCAGCTGCTAGCGCTGGCGGCTCAGCCAGCTTATTTCTGGGAAGCACTTTAGCAGAGGGAAGACAAGGATGGGCAGCTGAGTACACACGGGTGGTCTTCTGACCACTAAGCAATCTGTGGGTTGTGTGTCTAATTGCCAGCCTCTGTGGGCAGATTGTAAAGTCCTTGTGGTTTTGAAAGTGCTCTTTCCCGTGCAGGCATAGCTGAACTCCTAGAAAGCAGGTTTATACTGAACACCACCACGTCCACACTGTGGGTGTGCGCCTCTAAGCTTTTTCTTTTGGATATTTTTTGGATTTTTTATTTATTGTGCTGGTTTGAGCACTGAGCCCTCTGAGCAGCCCTAGGTCACTGTGTGCCCAGCTCTGCAAGCCGAAGGTGTCGTATGAGCTTCTCCTCGCCTGCATGAGGGTAAGCGAGATGTTGACTCGTACTCGCCTTCATCAGCGGATTGAGCTAACCTGGCTTGGCCTTACATGGATTAGGGGGGTCTTCCCTGTGATCTTTCTGGCCTGAAATCAGCTGAGGAGTCGCCCTGTTTTCAGTCAGCACAGCTGTTAGCAAAATTCCTGTTTACAGTCTGAGATGGGTGTATGTTTTCATGAGTTGTTCATTCCAGAGAAACTGTTTCCCATATATTCTTGAGGGAGAATTTCATTTCAGGAAGAAGAAGAAGAATAAAAAAACCCCACATTTTGCAAAGCTATCTCATTTTTCTTAATGCTTATTATTGGATAGACCAGTATTCAAAGGTGTAAAATGTGTTTGGGCTTGCCCGTGTGAGCAGTTCTGCACATGTGAATGGTTGGGAGTGTTAGCATGCACGAGGTTATTCCATATCATCCGTGTGATTCTACCGCGGAATGTTGTTCTTGGGAAGGTAAACCTAGACTTTTGAGTGTTTTACTTCTTGTCTTGGTATTTCTTACTTTTTACTCTCGCAAACTTAGAATTAGGAAAATGCATTATCCTTTAACTACTCTGCTGTGTAAATTTAGGGTGGAGTTATTTATGATGGCTGTCTCCTGCAGCCTTTACTCAAGGTTTGAGGAAGTCTTCAACAAATTTTGATGTGTATGAGGGACTTCAGCATTTTTTTTTCTTGTCCATCGTAGCATTTTCTTATATTTCGCCTATCAGAGTTATACAGTATCTCACTGTGATGGGAACTGTATAAATAGGGATAATAATTAGTTAAAAAGAATCTGCAGGTACGCTGCATGGATGTATATTATTAGATGTATATAATAACATTAAAATTTGATACCACAAAGTAACATGAAAATAAGGGTGAAGAAGACAGCAGTAGGATTTCATGATGGTTTATTTGTGGGAAACTTGCAGGAAAGAGATACTTTGTTAATTATTGTGGCTGGTTTTTTCCCCAGTGTTTTATTTATATTCCTTTTGTTTCACGGCATCTCAAACTAGTTGTTGCTGTGATTATCAGCAGTTTAGACTCAAAAGTTGACTAAGGCCATCTGTCCTTTCAGAGTGTGATCTGAGGTGCAAAAGGGAATGTTATCATCACAAACTACTGTCTTCATTTGATGCAATGAAATTTAGGGATATAATTTGTTGTTGTTATTATTGCTTGCTTTCGATTTATATTATGCTTTGTTTGTATAACTCGTTGTACTTAGCCCTCAGTTGGAGGTTAAGATTTATTTTAGTGTTTGTTTCAATGAGAATCTAAAATTTTCCCACCTTCTCACTCAGTTAACTAATTGACTCCTTAAGTTAACATAGAAATGCCTATGCCTGCATGTGCTTTGCTTTTCAGATTATTTTTTGTTGCTTGCTTTTTTTCTTTTTTTTCTTCTTTTTTTTTACGTTGCAAAGTTTTATACATCTATTTTCTCACCTGCCGTATCCTAGGGGGCTTGGAGTACCAATAATACAGTGAGCCCACCTTCCTGGTCCCCAGACATTTCAGAAGGTCGGGACATTTTTAAATCCAGACAGCTTCCTGGCAGTGCCATTTGGAGCATCAAAGTGGTAAATAATTTGAATTTATTTTTATGTATCCATTGCTATCTTTCTGCTGTAGAGACTAGTCGTGAAATTCTGTACCTCGTATTAGAATTAATCTTCCCTTCTGTTACTGTTTAAGGCCTTTAAAAATTATTGAAACTCTGGATCTTTGAGGTTTAAAAACACACACTTTCCAGAGTGTACAGTATGATGGCATTGCCCCAATTTTCAGTGGCAAAGAGTAGTTTGTATTACCAATTTTTTGTGTGCGTTGAGTACCTCGCTTTTTGTGGCTGGCTTTATCTAACTGTCATAATAAATCACCCGAGAACGAAAATGTCCTCAAGACTGGCAGAGAGGTAAGCCAGGCACAGAAAGGAGCAGAGATCTGAAGGAAGCTTGAATTTGTTACTGTGGAGAAAACTTGCAGAGTGGATACAAAGTGACATCATTTTTAGCTTGTAGGGGAATAAATAATGACTTTCCTATCTAATAAGATGGACCAAAGTGGTAACCACAGTGACATTTACCATTAAGAACACCTGAAGAAACTAAGTGGAATTCCTATTTTTAAATAAAGACAAAACAGCTAAATTGTAAAACTCTGCCAAATGGCTGTAGTTTCCCAATGATTTATTTTCATCTCACTTTAACTCTCATGCTAATTTTCTTTCAGTTTTACATTAGCTTAGCTTTTGCTGCTTCAAGCATTAATTTTCAGCGTAATATTCAGCATTAACATTGATACAAGTACGTGCTTATTCCTGTTACTACTTGTGTGAAAATAACAATACTGATACCTTCTCTGAGACAGACAAAATAAGAAACATGCCAGAGTTTACATCTTAAAAAATTGTAACGTCCTGTGTGTGCATGTGCATTAACTCCCTGTATAGGTAGGGACGACATTTTTTTTGTTTTACCTTAGTACATGTAAATACTTCAGCCATCAGTAGCATCCTTCCTTTCTCTCCTAAAACAGCTTTGTGTTACGTTACCTTGTTGTGTAAGAGGAAGTCCATTTAATATCTCTTTCCATTAATAGATGGATGTTAATACAATTTTAACATTGGGATCCTTGGATTCTCCCCTTAATTATGACCATTGACTTCTATGTCTGCTTTAAAACAGGAGTTGGTGTATTTGAAAAACGTGGTTGGCGGCAGTGAGCCCATAGTGCTGCTTTCCATCCAGGGGACTCCTGTCTCTGTCAGCGGAGACTGTTCATGTCTGTTGGTGATGCTGTCCCCAGGGAGCCTTGTGGCTCCATCAGCATTATTTTATTGGATACATGTTTTGCCTTGCTCTTAAAAGTAGTTTCCAGAAAATGTTTGGATATACTCACCAGATACTCTGTGGATGGAGTCGGGAGACAAGTTAGTTAGGAGACAAGATTATTCACAAATTTGAAATGCAATAAATCATCTCATTGTTTCTTCATAGTAGAAAAGGTGCTTATTTGAGTATATGCCCTAATTATCATAATTTATACAAAGGAGAGTGTCTGAAACATGTTTTAAAGATGTCTGGTATACATAACAACTTGGGGATGTTGTGAATATGTTCTTTTTCTCTCTGGAGGTGATTAGGGAGAATTAAGGAGCCTCTTTATGTTTAGTTCATTTTGAATTAAAAAAAAGTAAATTTTTTTCAAACTAATTCATGGTGTTAAATATAATGTAATTATTAAAAATGTACTTGATTTTCCACAGTTGATTGTAGTTGAACATACTGTGAATAATCCAGAGCACACAACACTGCAACTGGGTGTCTGCATCTAAACTAAGGAGGGAAAAGAAGCTGTCTAAAAATAAGTGGATATTTGTAAGGAAAACATCATATTATAGGGAACGTTGATCTGAGTGTAACTGATATAATTAATATAAAAAGCTCTCTCTGTATCTGCTGAATTAAGAGAGTTTCGTGGAGCCAGCTCCTGCTTTGCTTTGGGAACAGGACTGAGTCCTAATAATTTCCATGTTTTACTTAGCATAAGAAAAACATCTGTGATTGCAAGTCATCAAGTGTCTGGATCCTGTTCAGCAGTCCCGTGACTGTCTGAGCTGACTGATTTAAAAGAAAAGAAAAATGAATCGCAGAATAGAGGATTATATTTATTTTGGATACTTTGCAACTGTGGAAAAAAACCCCATACATTTCCTTATTTCCAGTTACTCCTAAGCAGAAAATAAACATTATTGGTTTTGGCTGCTTTCTCAGTGATGTTCGTATTATGTCATGTAAGTAGTTAAAGGTATTTCATGACGATTTATGCAGTGACTTAATGACTGTGGCCTGGTTTGCTCATGTTCACTTGAAATCCTCGGGTGGTTTTGTTACTTTTGTTTTTCCCTAGGCGCATTGAACAAGTTTGAATCCCACGTAACAGAAGTACTTCAGGTTGCACTTAAATTGTTACCTTACATTCAATAGGGCCGTGGATCAGGATTCCCAGGGAAGCGGAGGCCCCGTGGTGCAGGTCTTTCAGGAAGAGGTGGCAGAGGGAGATCAAAACTGAAAAACGGAGTTGGGACTGTAGTCATTCCAGGGGTAAGAACATTTATTTTTAAGTTATATTGTGGTTTGTTAGTGTAACATAAAGCAATTCATCTGTAATTCCTGTTTTAAAACACTGTGTAAGACCAAAGAGCACTAAATTGATCCGAAGCACTTTTATCCTGCTCTTGCCACCTAAATGGACAGCGGCTGGGAGTCTTAGAGCACTCCTTCCATTGCCTTGGGTGGAAAAGGTGGTGGGTAAAGGCAGCACTCACTGGAACAACGGAAAACAGGAGAGGAAGGCTTGTGTAGAACACTGGAAGAGCAGTCATAGCAGATCAGTCCAGCGGTTCTTCTCCCCAGGAAAACAAACCGGAGTGCAGAAAGAGAAGAGGCCCAGAGAAGGAGACGTGTCAACACTTTGTAGCTTGGGGACTTGCTGAACAGGAGGTGGTATCTTTGCCTTGGGCAGCCTGCATTGGAGCTTTCTTTCATGATTCTTTTTATTCACTTTTAAAATCCAAGTTAACCTTTTTTTAGTTCTACAGCTCATCAGTCTGTTGGTTTAAATTGCCGCTTGCTGGTTTCATTGCCTGCTCCTTAGTGCTCTTAAACAAGAGGCAGTGGAGTGGTTTTTTCTATTTGCCTCCTCCATCCAAGCCCCTTGATTTCTGTAGATCTTTATTTATCCTCCTTTTCCTTCCACACTTTCCTTGCTAGTCGTATATAAGTCAACATAGGGGCCAGTCCTCTTAATTCTGTGTCAATTTATCTTTTTTCTTTTTAAGAAGCATCGGTGAAGGACTTTGCAAAAAGAATTTACCAACAACTTCATGTCAGACAGATTTCGCTGTCCTCAGGCTTGCTGACTCATTGAGAGAGCTCTGGTAGATCCTGATTTACCATAATTAAAGATTCCTTGACTCTTTAACAATGTATTTTTGTATATGTGTATATATATATATA